TTTTTCAGTGGCCCTAATCCTCTTCCGTACAATCTCAGAATGATGGTATGAGTAAAATATTAGATTATGACTCCTTTAAGGTAAACTTTTAAGCTTAAAGGTAAAAAGTTTGTATTGCAGGCTGGATGGATTTAAGGTGGACTGGCATAGTTCTTACCAGCAAGACCAGGATCATAGGACCTTGGTAGATGTAGTCTGTATAAACACCTGCCTTCTTCCCAAACCAGCACCTGGAATGTAAACATGAACCAATGAGATGAAAAGGTATGATCTTAAAGTATGTTACATATAAACATGAGGTAATCTTGTCTGTTTGGTTTTTTTGTTGTTGTTGTTTTTTGTATTGGCCTGTGAGGATGTTGTTAAGCATCTCCTTCATTAAAAAGAAACTCATGCTTACACTATGGGTGCATTAACACCAAACTCACCCGCAGTAATTTCTGCATAGTAGTACAGGTAGCTTGATTTAAAAAAAGGTAAAAAACAATCCACTGGACTTTGTTTCTAAGTTGGAAGATGTTTCACTTCCCATCCACAAAGAATTTCCAATTCAAAATGTCAGGAATAGCGTTGAGTTCGAGGCTCTATACAGTAGCCCAACAAAGCCTTGTTTTGGCTTAGAAAACATGAAATTGAAACGGACGAACGGGTCCAACCCTTTGCAGCGGGGATTATTTGGATTCTTTTGTTAGCCTGCAATGCCCAATACTTGTCTATGTCTCTGAAAGGGGGTCGTTAAAGGGAACTGTTGGCCTGGCTAGATAGGCAAGGTCTTCTGTTCCCCTGTAAGGGGGTGGGGGTTGCGTTGATAGCAGGAAGGGATCAACTCAATTGCTGCATTGTAGGGTTTTGAAAGCTGGAGCCTGAGTCCACCCCCTCTGTTAAAGGTTGGTTTTTCTTTCTTAACATAGCCTCTCAAACCACCTATTTTCTTTATCCAAAATGGGAACATTCTAAGCCTCAAAAGAATCTCCCGAGGAGGTCGTTCTTCTGTGTTGGGCCATGTGTCTATGGAGAAGTTGTTTGGTTTGTCCAATATAAAGATCAGAGCATTCCTCACTGCATTGAACTGCATACACCACTCCATTCATATTTGGACTGGGGTTACTGTATAAAACCTCAAACTCAACGCTATTACTGGCATTTTGAATTGAAAAAGATTCCTGGATGGGAAACAAAATGTCTTCAAACTTGGAAACAAAGTCCAGTGGATTGTTTTTTAACTTTTGAGGAATGACTATGACCTGGATGACTGAGAATCTTCACCAGTATATGGTCAAATAGGGGGACATTTAGTTTCTCGGGTCCATATGATTCTCCAGAGACGGACCCAGTTTAGAGAGTACTATAGCCAACTCCACGAACTGCTTTTGGCAGTATTTCCTTGTATTTGGCCAGGCAGAGAACACCAATTCTGGGAGAGGCTGGCTAGCCTCGTGAGACCATCCTGATCTCGCGAGCTTTCAAG